CTGGTTTTACTAACGGTTCTTGCAAACCGATCCGAACCAGAGGCAACCCACCACTGTTCCTCTTCCTTTGGATATGTTGCAGTGTTTGTATGAGTGGGAAATATTAAAACTTTCTTTGCTGAGAGCTGCTTCAATAACATGTTGAGAGGATCAAGATAAAACAATGTTGTCAGGTATTTGAGATTTGTTACTTCAGCTAATCTTGCCCCCAACCCCCAAATATTGCATGACGGCCTTGATGGCCATATGACTGTCTCTGAAAACCATCAGCTGGAGACTTGTGAATTTGGTTGGCCACTGTGAAAATGAGACTGCTGAACTAGATGGGCCAGGGTCTGATCCAGCAGGCACTGCTTATGTTCTTAGGAAATACGGAATGTGAAATATAGATTTGCACTCTATGTGCAAGATTTTACTCTCTTATTGGAAATTCATCTGAAACAAGGTTTGTTGATTTATTCAAATCAAAGTACTAAAAATAATTCATGTTCTATCAGTACTTTTATTCTGTCCAACACAGCATGCCATTTATATTAGCTATTAAATAGGATCAGTTACTAGGGTTCCACTGCAAGTCTAGAATTAAAAGCTATCAAACTAAGCATGTGGAACTATAGTTTAAGATACGGTAGAAAATAGATGAACTCAGAGGAATTTGGGGGATTCATTAGGAATTTAATCTTAATAAAGAGGTTTGGCTCTCCAGCTAGACTTCATTATTAGAGTGCACAATTAGCCAATGCAGTACTAAAATAATAAGTAAATATTTACTATCATCGCAAATGATAGTAATGTAGTGCAGTTTGTATGTGGTGGAACTGCCCACTGTGCTTCAGAACAGTCACTATAAATAACAAGACAAACTTTATAGTAGGTTGTTATTGAAATATCATTATTATGATACGTGTGTGCAAACATAAAACATTCTTGTTTAGAAATGTGTAAGTGACAAAATGTGGATTAGCTTGTATGTATTATTATTAGGTATTATTGGGGTCTTCATTACTTAGCATATCCATGCCTATCTATCCAAAACACTGCAGACTCTCAATTAGAATAATACCGTAATAAGGTTTTGAAAACTTTTTATCTGTGTCCTGACAGAGCAGAGGAAGAGACCCAAACCCAGATTACAGAAGGGAGAACAGCACTGCAAGTTTTTCTCAGGATATTTCTCCAATAATATCAAAATAAGATATCGAGTATGATATCTTTTTCACAGTTTGAGCAAAATGTCTCCAAAACTGGTTATATGTTTTAATGTATAGTTTGTAAATTGCCTATGGCTGCAAAATGAGAATATATGGCACATATATTTTTTTTAAAAAAGGTTTTTATAAAACACACATCAGAGGACAATCACTTTAAATAATGCATCTGCATAAATTGTAAATTTCTCTGGATTGAAGTAGGATATTTTCACATCTGACTATCTAGAATGCCTTTAATTCGGTGTATGAAATCTGGAGGTACTAATACATCCAAATTGCAAAATATGTGGTCCTTAAAACATTAGGTCTGTGTTCAACTGCATTGGATTAACTATTGCATATGCATTTTGTATGCTTTATTTCAATTTTTACAGCTAAATTTCATCCATACTATAGAGTTATATTCACAATGTAAAAGTTATACACATTATCATTAAAAACCTTTTTCCTTATACAATTCTAAAATGAATATATGCAAATTCATACATACTTGAATAATGCAGCCAACTAATAATGAAATTGAATAATAATAATAATTTCAATAATAATTGAAATTAAAGTAAAAGAGAAACCAGCAAATGAGATGAATTTCACCACAAATAATAAGTTTTATATAGGCTGTGGCGTGAAAATTAGATATGACAAATAAAAGAAGAAATAAAATTGTTCTTAGGTTTACCAACATCCTCTGTCTGAACACCAAAGTAAAACATCTGGAAGCATTAGTAGTTGTTTTAATGATAGTAGTTGTAAGCTATCTATAAATACTATTTATTTGTAAAATGTACATACCACTTCAATTTATTTTTATTGATAGTTGTGCTAGTCCAAAGTAATATATCTTTCTTCCATTCATTTTTTTAAACCATTACTATATATCCAATGAAAAAGCCACACTATAGTGTTTTTAAATTTAAAAAGAATAATAATTAAAAGAGTTTATTATATTTCATTTCAGGTTACTGATATGCCATAAAACATTAACTGATAAACAGATGGAGATTTTGATTTTATTTTGTTACTGGGAGCCTAACTCCTACAGATTTATTACTCATGCACCATAATTATAAAAGCAAAAAAGAAAGAATACGAAGAAGCAAGCAACAAAGGCTTTCGGGCTTTGGTTTCTTTTGAATAAAAATTGGGCTGACTGTATTCAGGTTTCAGTGGAAATATGAGTTGCATAATACAAGGAATGCAAAAAACAAAGCAAAACCCCAAAACCCACCCAAAACCCTTATCTCCAATTTGTCTGACTGAAAAGATCCTCTGAATTCCAGTAACGTGCATTTAGCACACTGATCATTCTGTACATCTACACTGCCGAGCTCTGTAATTCATCTAAATTATGTGAACCCCTGATTCATGCAAGGCAAGTGAATATGGCCCTAAAGGTACTTTCTGTCATTGTTTCAATTACAGAGCTATGTGGGTAACAGGCTTGGATTTGACAGCAACTGAAGAAAGAGGATATTATATGCATGCCTTCAATCAGCTTTGTATTTGATCCTTAAAGGGAAAATTATGTGAGAGACAGGGGAGGAAAACAACAAACTAAGCAAGATCCCAATTTCAATATAATTTGGAGAAAATAACTGATTTGGGTTGGACATTTTGCCAAAATGGATGACTCAAGGCTTCCAAACAAGAAATGGAAACCAGAAGGATGCCTAAAGCCTTAAAGAAGAACAAATTGGGAAGATATGATTGACTGTAATGTTTCAAAATCAACTATAGCAAAGACGAATTTGGGTGGTTGCCCAGAACACAATTGAATGGTGATGTTCATTTAGATGCTTAATGTTGAAACAAAATAATGCATTTTAACTGCGCTTCACTTTAACATGTAACTGTTAACTCTTTCAAATTCAAAAATATGGTCTTGGGGGGCTGGAACTGTGCTCGTCCTAGGGTAGTAACGAAAGTATAAAACAGTCTAAACAAAGACGGAGCAGGCAGAAAAAAAAGTATTAAGTATAGTATAAAACTGAAAATATTTCAGATTTGTAAAACCTTTAGGACCATCTGTGTATCAATCATCAGTCATCGACACAGCACCTGATTAAATCTCACTCAACTATAATAAAAGTAATGGGGTATCTGTTGTAAACTTAAGGATATGTTTTTATTAACACTTGGGTAGCAGACCTACCTGCATTTTTTAAATTCTCAGTGGCCATTTCCTTTACTCTGAGACTATAAAATAACTACCCCTGACATCTGGATGTATTTTCTTTATGTACTATTTATAATTTCTATATGCAATGAGTTTATCTCTCCTTTGAGACCCACTGGCTGTCTTTAAATTAAGCCATTCTCAGTGCAACAGTAGCACACAATGCATGCATATCTGAAGTGAAAACTAGGTCATACGTGTGTCAGGCAAGCTTCTGTCTATTGCTGAAAATCATGTGAAAATTACAAAATATTAGAAGCTTTAAAAGAAAAACAATAGTATGATAGCTATAACTGATAGCTTGGAAAGCATAGAAATTTACACTGTTCCAGTATAAAGCAAGGTTCATCCTCACTTTGAATACAGAAGTCAAAAATACTTGAGAGGAGAGAAATGTCTTTCTCTGGCTTTGAACAGTCATTCAAACTGGACATCAGTCATGTTTCCCTAGAAAGGGTATTCCGTAAGCAGAGCCCTGCCAACTAGAAGCCCCTGTTCATTGCTCCCTGGCAGGGACAGACCAAAAGATTCATCCAAGTATTTAATGGGAAGAGGCATCCCTGAGATATCGCAGCTGTCCAGAGCTTTAAAAATCAATAGCACGGCTTGGAAATGGATTGGCAACCATTGCAGCTACCGAAGCCTTGGTATGATTTTTGTTCGTTCTTAATCCTGCCTCTTGAAAATCTTCTAAGATTGGATAGGGACTGTAGGAGGAAAGGAGGGAAAGGGCGGTACGGTGCATATTTCTTTCCTCTGTATCATCTACCCCACAGAATTTGCTATAGACTGCTTTTTAATGAAACAAGCGCTGAGAAGCATTTGTTGTGTCTTAGAAAGCAGCACTGCTTTTTAGAATCTGCTTTCCCTATTTTCTCTAAAGGAAATCTAGTTATAAAATGGTAACAAAGGACCACAGGAGGACAGTATAATGCTATTCAGATTCAACACAAAAACTCAGATTCAGTTGACTTGACATAAGTAATTGAACTGGATTGGTTTAAGGAAAATATGCTCAAATCTAATAATAAAATTAAAGTGCCAAGTAGTCAACTTGCACATTGAATCACATTTCCAAAGAGCCAAAATGTGTTCTCCAAGCCTTCTTTTCACTTTTTGCAATCGTTTTCCTTTATTAAAAATGATGTTGCCAGCCTGAAGCCTGACTACTTAAACAGTCAGCAGTAAATAAATCACTCCTACCCCCACCTCGTTTTCTCTTTCACAGAAAAAGTTGCTTCCTATTTACAAAAAACGTAATCTAATCTGCATAGATTCTATGGGTTGCGCTTGTGTTTTGTTGCAATTATGCTGCTTGTTTCAGTGTAAACTAAAATTTGGACTACAGTCCTCAAAGAATTTATTCCAGTTTAATCCTGTTGAAGTCAGAGGTATTATCTCAGGAGAAGTAATTTTAGGACCGCAGCAATAGTTACACAATATGTACAAAACCAGAACTCAGTTGTTGACAATAAGGGCTGTTCTGAATAATTAAGAAAGCCTTGAGATTAGTTGTTTTATTCTGAAATGAAAACAGAATTACCACTTGGCTAATGTTCATACATACCTGGGTATTTTTTAATGTTCTTTTTCTGTCTTTCTTTATTCAATAGCTTGTTTGGTTTCTATAAAGGTATCCTCCCTCCAATCTTGGCTGAAACACCCAAAAGAGCAGTAAAGGTAAGTCAATTTCCATCATCCCCAAAGAGAGAAAAATTACAACACTGGAATTACTGTGGGGCCATTGGTACTCTCTGAGTGTGGGTGCTTACTTGCAGACGTTTCATTATCCAACTAGGTACAATCATCAGAGCTCCATAGTTCAACTCTGAGCTACAAATATTCTCTTCTAATTGGGATTACCATAAGTAAGAAAGTAATTTTACTTCCCTTCCAAGATATCTGGCCAGAGGACATTTGGAGGGAGTGGAGAAGCCTCTCCAGCTGTGGGTGCAGATGAACTCTACCGCTCCTAAATAGCGGGCAGGTCTCTCTACATTTACATTCGGATGCTTTACAACTGACTCACATTTACAACAGTCGCAGTGTCCCGTGTGTGTGTGTGTGTGTGTGTGTGTGTGTGTGTGTGTGTGTGTGTGACGTGACCCTCTTTTGCAACCTTCTGAGAAGCAAAGTCCATGGGGAAGGCAGATTCATTTAACAACCGGGTTATTCATTGAACAACTTACTTAACCGATGTGGCAAGAAAAGTCGCAAAGTGGGGCAAGACTTGCTTCACAAATTCCTCACTTAGCAACATAAATTTTGGGCTCGATTGTGGTCGTAAGTCGAAGACTTCTTGTCAGAAGCCAACTGTGAAGGGTGCAAATGGGGATCACGTGATCCAGGGATGTGAAAAACAGAAAACAGAATAACAAAGTTGGAAGGCACCTTGGAGGTCTTCTAGTCCAACCCCCTGCCTAGACAGGAAACCCTACACCACTTCAGACAAATGGTTATCCAATATCTTCTTTAAAACTTCCAGTGTCGGAGCATTCAAACCTTCTGGAGGCAAGTTGTTCCACTGATTAATTGTTCTAACTGTCAGGAAATTTCTCCTTAGTTCTAGGTTGCCTCTCTCTTTCATTAGTTTCCATCCATTGCTTCTTGTCCTGCCCTCAGGTGTTTTGGAGAATAGCTTGACTCCCTCTTCTTTGTGGCAGCCCCTGATATATTGGAAAACTGCTATCACGTCACCCCTAGTCCTTCTTTTTATTAAACAAGACATACCCAGTACCTGCAACCGTTCTTCGTATGCTTTAGCCTCCAATCCTCTAATCATCTTTGTTGCTCTTCTCTGCACTCTTTCTAGAGTGTCCACATTTTTTTTTACATCGTGGCACTGCTGCACACTGCTGGCTCATATTTAAATGGTTGTCCACTAGGACTCCAAGATCCCTCTCACAGTTACTACTATTGAACGAGGTACCATATACTGTACCTGTGCATTTTGTTTTTCTTGCCTAAATGTAGAACCTTACTTTTCAATTTTCCCTGAGCTTTCTCAGGGAAGCTCTGTCTTACATTGTCTCAAGGAAACTCTGATTCTTAAATTTACTGCATGGGCTCCAAATACGCTTTTCTTGATTTGGATAGGTAACTGCAAGGTGTCTCTAGGACATGGTCAAAATAGTCAGTGATAACCATTAACCCTTCTGTTTACGGCATGGACATTTTCAGTGATTTGTCACTTAAACAGAAAGCAGAGATTCCACAGCAAATTAAGAGAAGTGTTGAATCCATTGAAAACAAAGCCCTTCCATTTCCATAGCCAGAATAGGAATAAAATGCAGCCAGCCCTGAAGCTGGCCGCCTCCTCTTCCCTCCAGCCCGACCCCCCACAGCTTCTGCCCAGATTATTCATTTATTTTAGAAAACGTTTAGGACTTGCTTTCTCTGTACTTATGCGGAATCGTATTAAGGCAATATATAAATAATACAATCCAGACTATTTTTTAAAAATAAAATAAAATAATGAACAGCGCATCAGGGAAATGTTACACTGGGGCAAGAGAAATGCAAGGCTGTGTCCACAAATATTGGAATTTGTTGGAAAATAAATGAAGAGTTAAGCAACTTTCAATGGAGCTTTGCAACAAACTGCAATGGTGTTGATTGTCTTTGTTTAGAGTTCTGCCTTTCCGTTTCAATGCTTCCTTTTTTTTTTCTCCTCTGCATTTCTTTTAGTTTTTTTTTTTTCCTTCCTGTGAGTTAGCATTTTATACATATGAAGTCATAATTGGGGTATTTTTTCAGGAGGTTTCCATTTTGCTTTGGGGGGGGGATGGAAGAATTCTAGATACATTATTGTAAATCTTCAAATTAGTTTATCTTTCTTCCTCTGGGGAAAAAATACTATTAGGGAAAACAGTATCCGAAAGAAACACCGAACATTATCTTCTCGTATTTAACTCAGAGCTAGACCTACAGTATTGAGTAGTTTAACACTGATTAGCATTTTATGCCATTGATTAGCTATGATGACATTCATCCCCCTTAAGACTTTCCCTTTATGCTAGGGGCAACAGCAATTGTTGCAAATCTTTTGAGGTTTTTCTGACGGTGCCTTTAAGAGATTATAATATAATATATGAGATTATGATGCCTTTAATAATGTAAGTTAACTGCTTAAACCACTTTAAAAAGTATAGAAAAGTATAGAAAACTGAGTGTCTTGCAAATGCCACACTATGTTATTGACAGTAACAGCCTGATTTTACCTCCTAAAAGAGATGGAATTCAATACCTGGAAGCTGCTCCAGTACAATTGTCATTGTTCTTGTTTTGCTACGCATAGTTTGAAGAAAAAAAAAAAAACACGGAGTGCTTGATTTTGATTTTTTAAAAATGATAATTTGCACACATGTGCACAAACATCTCACACATTTTGTGATAAATAAAATATGCTTACAAATAAACCTCTCACACAGCAACTAGCACATTAAGCTGATACAAAGTTTTGTTAAATATGGACTTCAATTATTGTAGATTTTAGAAAGAAACTTGCGCTCGAAAAAGGTTTTCATAGTGTTTTAAATAGTGGCTTAATCATTGGGAAATTTTAGATAGTCCTATCTATCTGGGAGTTAGTTACTCATGGAAATGAAAATCAGGGTTTTCTGATCACAGAACTTCACATTTGGAGGCTCGGGGAGTGTACCAGATATTCCTTGGAATCGCTTCCACATTTGATACTGTAATTTAAGTTCTATTGTGGTAATTTTGCACAGCTGCATCTCTACCTGCCATTTTCATCTTGGTTCCTTTCAGAGAAAAGCTGCCTTGAATTATAGAACTGCTGGGCTGATAAAAGATCATTCAGATAAACAAACAAGGCTGAGTTCCTGTTGAGAAGAAAAATATAATTGTCTATTCCTTTCGTAAATCCATTTGCATGTAAAAATAAAGCCATTATAATTAAGGTAGTATGTCACTTGGACGCCATGTGTCAAAGACAATTTCATTTTGAAGAGTTCAGATCCTTTCTCACTGTGTTTGTGCCTCTTTCTGTCTTTCTTCCTCCACCCTCCTAAAAGAAAGCTGGTAACTCTGAAGGATGAAAAGCCAAACTTTATAGCCCAGATTTAGTCTGGACTTGAAGAAAAGACATGAACAGTGCCAGTACAATGCTTAACAGATGATCTTGTTGGGCAAATACATCTTTTGCATGTGTTCCCAAACTTTTTTATATTAAGGTTATTGGGACATATGGTAAATACCGGATTTCCCCCACCCCCACCCCCACCACTGTGGAACTTAAGATTTATAAGTGTCTTTGCCAGATGAACAACATCTTTCTTTGGATTTTGTGATGAAAGCATTTTTTTAACTTAATGGAACTTTTAGAATTCTTAAGCAATAAAAATATGTAGAGATGTTCAGTAAAGTAAACCATAGTAAGCCATGCAAGGAAAAATTACTAGGGTTTGTTTGTTTGTTTGTTTTGGGTTTTTTTGGACAAATTAAATTTGCACTCAGTTGTTTTCCCCAGTTCAACTGGATATTTGCTTTGGTTTTGTTCAGCTTCAGAAATGTAATAAAAAGCAAAATGTCTACATAACTTATTTTTTTATATGCGTCTAGAAAGCAACTAATATTTTGAATGCAAATTTTTAATAAAAATAACGGAAACATGAGGAATATAAAAATTCCATGAAATATATTTCATGAAAATCTAACTGATTTCTTGTGCCAAGTACTTATAGTTACGCGTCCTTATTTTTTTACAACCTTTCTCATCAACCAATTGGTTTTTGCAGTTTTTTTCAAACCCTTTAACTATTTACTTTTCCTATATAACAAACCAAATTTTATACCCACTTTCACAGGAATAAGACCCACTGGACTTCAGTGGATTCTTTCAAAATAAACATAGGAAAGTGGTTTGCAAATGTATTATTCAGGTTTTTAGACTTCATTCACTACAATTAAGTTAATTAATAGTAATAAATCAATTAGTTGTGATAAACAATGCTTGTAAGATTGTTTTAATACTGGCGAAAAATGCTGTGGAGCATTTTCTTAATACCTGTATTGTATCTCATTCTATAAATATTTTAAAATTTAATTAATGTATTTATTTATTTATTTACCACAAAAGATGCTTGAGCTTCAAACATTTCTGGTTTGTATATTGAAGTATCAATATTATTATGAGCTTCTGAACAAAATAAAATAATTTGCATTCCTCTACAAATGAATTGTTATGACAAATTGAAATAAATAAAAATACACCCCAGGTGTTCTTGCCAATAACTTGCTGGTTGGCTACCCCTCTCTTCCCTATGCCTTATTTTCTTTGTCCTTTAATTTTAAAAATATTGGCTAGCAAGCAAATTTGCATCTGGATCCGGGCTGTGGATTTGCATATAAAGTGCTAACTCTGCAGCCCTCTGACCTGTATGCACTTTATATAGACACCAAATAGATAGTATTTGGAAAAGATTTGTGATTTATTTTTATGAGTAGTGGTCTGAAATTCAGTGGGAAGACAAACAGGTGTAATATACGTAATGCTAATGTAGCAGTAGCCATCTCAAACCTAGAAGTCTTGGATACAAATAGGTGAAGAGAGTAGGTTGGAGTGTCAAACTCGTGGCTCATGGGCCGGATGCATCATGCACTGGCCATGCCATTTTAGCGAAGGGGGAAAAGTTGTGATATGTCACATGACAACATGTCATCGCGAGTTTGACATACCTGGGGTAGGTGGTTTAGAACAAATCAGCAATTAAGAATCAGTACAAGATCAATATTCCTGCTGTGTCCAGTTTTCGCCACTTTTCTCTCCTTTTGCATTCCATTCTTTGAAAGACTTAGGGTCTACTTTAAAGAAAGAAAGAAAATCGCAATTGTATGATTAGATTTAACTTCCTATGCGTCTAATCCAATACATTTTTTTTCATTTTAAAAACAAGTTGTGTTACAGACAAATTAAAGATTTGATATTCTACTTGATACCAGAATATCCTTGTATAAAAATCTGGAATGATTTTGAATTGTATTAGTTGCTACAACAGTGATTATATGATAGTATTAATTTTACTATCAACATATTTTGCTGGTATATTTTTGTTCATACTAAACAGTAAAAATAAAGGAAAAAGTCATGTTGTATTCACTAACTGGAATAAATAGAAAAGATTTCCGTACTTTAGTAAAAGGAATATTGTTTTTGGAATAAGAAACTAAACACATGAGAGAAGGTAGCTTACTCTCTGAAATAAAGTATGATGAAAGGAGTATAAAGTTTAAAGAGTACAACGGTGAGATGTGAAACTACTATAAATTTGACTGGATAATTGTATAATACCATTCTCTCTTTTCCCCCCCCTCTCTCTCTCCCTCCCTCCCTCCTTCCCTCCCTCCCTCCCTCCCCCCTCTCTCTCTGTGTATACTGTATCTTTCCAATAAATGTTTTAAATGATCTGAGAATAACATTTGTTTGATTCAGTTTTAACCAAAACCATGTGTGCAACACTAATCATTCAACAATGTACAACCAAATCAAATCATTCTTTGTCTTTTCTTAGACTAATAAAGGTAAACAGCTTTCTGTGATAAAAATCTCTATTCTTGAGTTTTAAATTTCTCCTTATTTACTTTCCAGTTCTTCACCTTTGAACAGTACAAAAAAATACTTGGAAATGTTTCTCTATCACCAGCTTTGGTAAGTGATAGTTTGCCATTCAGAATATACAAATGCATATAATATACTGCATTGCATAGTATGTTGTCTTCAGATTAGGTGAGACAGTGGCGATAGGAAGAAGGGCAAAGTTAAAGTGGATACTAATAACAAATTATTTTATTCATATATAAACAGATTTGTTTGTGTATGACTGTAGCATGCAGACCTTGCATTGCAATGCTGTTTTTGATAGACACTTCCAAGTCTTTCTATGCCGGCAATGAAAAAAGAGCAGATATTTTCTCTGTTGGCAGCGCCTTCCGTTTAGGTGAACAAGGAAGGCAAACCACAGTGCATGGGAACATGCAGCCTCCTGATCCATTAGTGCATCTCCAAAACCTCCTGAAATCATTCTGCTGAAATTTTGTAGAAAAGTTCAAATGAAGAAGAAAAGGAGGGAGAAAGAAAAGAGGGAAAGGAAAGGAAAGGAAAGGAAAGGAAAGGAAAGGAAAGGAAAGGAAAGGAAAGGAAAGAAAAGAAAAGGAAAGGAAAGGAAAGGAAAGGAAAGGAAAGGAAAGGAAAGGAACAAAGGAAAGGAAAGGAAAGGAAAGGAAAAATAATCAAGCCACAGCAATTCTGGTAAACCTGTTTCAAGATGTCATTAAATTATTTCCCTTCTCTCTGTGACCCTTGCTTCAGCAATGGGAGTAAATCTGCTTTAAGATTTTTGGATAGTATGGATGTTAAAAAATCCTAGAAAGATGAGTGCCCAGCCATCAATCCATATAGATGACTCTTAAATTGTTAGCAAAATGCAATTGGAAGGGACAATTAATAAATCATCTGGAAAATAATTTTTTTAGTTAAATAGGTTAAGAAACTAGGCGTATTTTGCTGAATTTTTGGCTCTTTGAGTGGAAATTTTGTGACAAGCTTAAGAAGCATGTCATATACCTGCTTATCATATAAACTGGGAAACTACTAAAATGTACAGGCAATGGAAATGATTGCTTTTTTTAAACATATTGTGCTTAACTACCATATTATTATTACATCACTATAATTGTCTCTGACTCATGAAAGATCCCCTTATGCTCCCTTTATTGGACTTCCATATTTTTCAAAGAACACAAAGTAAATTATTAAAGATTCTGCATATCTTTTTAACAGAGAAAATGGTAATTCATCTTGCAGATGTATGTACTAGGATAAATTTCTCAGTATACTCTGAATAAATAATACAGGGGCTCATTGAGTTTCATAGAGTATAACACATTTATAAAGCCAAAGCAGAAGGAAATGGCAAGAGGTGTTCTGTATGAGGAGTCTGGAAGAAAACAAAAGATATACGTCCACGTCAGGGAGAATCTCTACAAATCTCATATGCTTGATTGCTAACCAGAGTAAAGAAGGGACATACGGTCTGTAATACCCATCAATGAATGGTTTCAGTCCAAAAGGCAGTTACTGGATTAAGAATGCTTAATGCAAGGCATGTTCAACCTGTAATCTACATGCTGGATCTTCATATCTGAATGATCAGATTGCACACAGAGTTCCAAAACCACTGCAGCCTGAGCTTGGCCAATTTGCAATTATCATGCCTTATAAATTGGCTATGATACTGTAACTGGGCAAAGGAAAAGTACACTTGTTTGGGTTCTGGGAAGCATGGAAAATTGAAAAATATACTATTGTCAATTTAGATGACATCATCATTTTCAACTTCTAGCACACCTGCATAAAGTATTTAAATGTTTGCAAGGAAGATAACTGACTGTGGTAGGGCCCAATTCCTCATGAGCCCAGCTGAAAATAAAGTATCACAGTTTGAAAGTAGCTCAAGGAATCTTTAGAATACAAACCAACAAGTTGGAAGCAATTCACAAATCAGTTCAACCCAAAAACAAAACAGTAGTCTGAAACGATAATAGACTGGCATAAAATGATTACATCTAAATTGTCATATATTGTTGCTCCTTTAACTGAACTCACTCAGAGGATAACCCTACAAAACCTCTTGGCCCAAGGAACTTGAGAAGATAATTTTAAATTAACTGTGGGGCTCCAATGTTCAAGAAGTTGAATTTTTCTCATGGGTGTCAACGTGATATGTCTGAAGTAACCACTAAAAGAGGGCCCTCAGGAAAAGAAGACCTCATCCCATACTTTAGGGGAGAACTGGTTCCGTACGTGATACCAAACAACAAGCATGTCATCAAATAGCCCTCAAAATTCTTCCTTCTGATGGGGAAGTACTTCAAGATATTCACAAATCACCATTCTTAAAAATGTTAGGGTCAATGTCCTTCATGGAAGATTACCACTCCAGGTTGACATTTATAAATAGTGAGATATTAAAAGGACAAAAAAGGGTCCCCAATGACCTTCAATTCCATTAAAAGTATCAGCCGGCCATTCTGTATCTCAATAAAAGAACTAATTTCAAAGTTTCCTATAAAGGACTATCTGGCTTAAAGGAGAGAAAGATAAAGTGAAGGGAAACATCTGATTCCTGAGAAGTAATTCCAGATCTCACTCCAATCCGAAGCAACCCAACCTAGTAGGTCGTCTAGAGACCAATTTCAAGCCCCCCCCACCTCTTTCAACAGATGGAGTTGCCAATTAGCATGAAAGTATTGGAGGTGCATACAACATTCCATATCCCACATAATCCCTCCTAATGCACTGTCTACCTATCCAATGGGATAAAGTGGAAGGAGCTCTGCTTTGAGATTTCTGTTCTCTTGGAAGAGCCTAGTTTACGCTGCTTGTTCTATGTTGAACTAACCATAGATGACTACAAGTCTGAATCATAGCGGCTCAGATACAAATATAGATCATGTACAACATCATATTCAATATGCAGAAGACTGTTGTGAGATTATTCTGAGGAATTTATAAATTACAAATACCCAGATGTTCCATTCCACTGATACTAATCCAACTTTGCTCAGAGTGCCATTGTCCTTAGTAGTAATAAGGTATACTCCCAGGTAAGTATGTTTAGTTTTGAGCCAAATTTACATTTAATTATTTCGACGTATACATTGCAATTTCCTCATTTTTCTCCCTCTGACTCATTTAAAGAGTCTCAGGCAACTTATTCTATAGAAGATACAAGAATGGCAAAAGTCTTGCTGCTGCTTTGTAAGTTTTAAGCACCATCTCAGTCTGTGCTGGATTTTTGTCAAGTATGGTGAATATTATTTGTTTATATTGGTAAAGTGTATTTTGGGAATGTTCATGTGTGTTCCAGAAATCCTAACTGGAGGGGGTGGGGGGGAATGTGTGTCTTGAAGCCACAATCACACCAAATTTTTAGTATCTTACAGCTGCTGAATCCAAAGAAATATTTCTCTGAAATGATTCTTCAGTATGTTTTGTGGTGTGTGTCTATGTGTGAATACAGGTAGTACTAGACTTACAACCACAGTTGGGACCAGTTCCAATTTCCATTGCTAAGCAAGACAGTTGTTAAGTGAGTTTCACCCAATTTTATGATCTTTTTGCCATGGTTATTAAGCAAATTACTGCAGTTGTTAAGTGAATCACAGGGTCATTGACTTTGCTTGATGGCTGCCTGCTGGGAAATGGTGGTCACATGACCCCAGGACACTGCAACTGTCCTAAATACATGCTGATTGGCAAGCACCCAAATTTTGATCACAGGATTGTGGGGAATGCTACAATGGTCGTAAGTGCAAGGACCAGTTGTAAGTCACTTTTTCCAGTGATGTTGTAATGTTAAAACAGTCACTAAACAAATGATTGTAAGTCAAGAACTATCTATATATCAGTAAAGATAAGCGTCTTTTAAAACTATTGTACAATGTTTTCTGGTAGGCATTTAGATGTTTTCAGTGCATTGTATTCTTTTTTTAAAAAGATATCATAGCATTAGCTGATTTCTTAAATGGAACATCTGACTCAGTGCTACTGAGTCAATTATGTCTTCAGTTGTGAAGTTTGTCATGAAGAACTTACTTAAATGAATTGTTTCATTTAATTGGGAATATAGCAACCTTATGCTATATATTCTTGGCATTAGAATTATTGAGTTATCTCTTTGTTTTATATACTTCTTGTAAGTGATATAAAGAATTGTTTCTGTGAATACACGATGTACATAATAATGGGTAAAATATTCCTGATGTAGGAATACTTTGCAGGAAGTGGATGATATGCTTTTCCCCATATGTATTTCTTAAAACAGTCACAAAGCTTTCTTTCCAGCTAAAGGAAATGCATTGTTGATAGGACTTTGACATTTTATTTTGAATATTTGGAATGCGGTTTGTGGCTTTTGTGATTTTTTTTTCTGCATGAACTGTCAACATCTAATCAAGGACGAAAGCTGTTTAGGAATGGTACACTACTGCAGAAGAATTGGTCTCTCCACTTTCATCATATTAGTCAGCTTAATGTTCAGTTTTTACAAAGTGATGTATGGAGATGTTTTACTATAGCACATGAAAACTGATTGATTTAACTCTTTTAGACATTTGCCGTTGCGGGCTTGGGATCCGGGCTAACAGAAGCAGTTGTGGTTAACCCTTTTGAAGTAGTCAAGGTTAGCCTCCAGGCGAATCGGGATGCTTTCAAAGAGGTAGAGTAACTGGGATGTTTTTTTTAATATGTTGGGGAATGGAATTGCTGAATTGTATGTATATATCTTCATTAAGATCTGGGGAGAGGGGAATTTCTTGAGTTGGTTAAAAATAAGTAGTGATCCCCGTAGAAGTGTTGTCCCATCAAAATACCTGACAAATCAAATCAAATATATGATCAAATGCACTGGAGGGAAGGGGAGAGGAGAGGTTTTAGGAATGAATCCCGAATAATTTAAGATTATCTTATATTATAACAAAAAAATGAATTTCAGGTTCTGTCAGAAGAGGGAATAGAAGGAAAAAAATGGGAAAGGGGAGGGGGAAAAGCTTTTTTCCTCCTAACTTATCTTGCTAAATCCTGTGCTCTACTCAAGTGAAGTACTGCTTCAAAATTTTGTTATACTGACATTCTCAGTATAATAAAAAAATAAACAATTGGAAAGAAGCATTAGAAGTTTAAATCAGTGGTGAAATCCAATTTTTTTTACTACCGGTTCTGTGGGTATGGCTTGGTGGGTGTGGTTTGGTGGGCATGGCAGGGGAAGGTTATTGCAAAATCTCCATTCCCACCCGACTCTGGAGCCAGCCAGAGGTGGTATTTCCCGATTCTCCAAACTACTCAAAATTTCCACTATCGGTTCTTCGAACTGCTCAAAATTTCTGCTACCAGTTCTCCAGAACCTGTCAGAACCTGCTGGATTTCACCCCTGGTTTAAATGTCATAGCCTGAGTAAACTACCATATTTCTTGGACAATAGGTGATTCTAACTGTCATGTAACCCATTAGTGGATATGAATGTGTGAATTCATCAAAGAGATCACCTCTGCTAGCCAGTTCCCCTGATGCATTAACAACTGTAGATATAGTGAGGAACAAATGTACGTTCGGAGGGGGTATCCGGATGCCAGATGCAATAGATTCTTGTGCGCTTAATAAGTATAGTTTCTATACGACACTGTTTTAATTTTTATTTGTGGCCACCCAACATAAGTAGAACCAAACATGCATAGTTGATTTATCTCTCCACATATTCACACCATCAGATTTATCTAACAATTGATCAATAAACTTCTATATATTGAAAAAAAAGCCCTCTATTTTTTCAACCCTGTATTCCTGATCACACATAATTACAATTTAGTAATTTATATTTAAGCACTGGACTAAACACAGAGGCAGTTTGGTATAGCGGTTAAGGCACCAGGCTAGAAACTAGGAGACTCTGGGTCCTAGTCCTGTTTAGGAACAAAAAACCAGTTGGATGACCTGGAACCAGACATGCTCACTCTCTCAGCCCTAGGAAGCTGGCAATGGCAAACCACTTCTGAAATCTTCCCAACACAACTGCAAGGACTTCTCTAGGCAGTTGCCAGGAGTCAATGATGATTATGATGAAAGTACCATTAAAAAATTAAATAGATTCAAAATGCGCTTTCTATGTGTATTTAAAACCTTGGAAATTCTCAGCTGAGATTATATTTAGTTAGTTAGTTATTTAGTCAGTCAGTCAGTCAGTCAGTCAGTCAGTCAGTCTCTTGGAGTAATAAATACGTCTTCTCACAAACTACTTTTAAGTTTCCTGAATTTTAAATATAAAACTATGTGACACAATAAGGAGAGTGAAGACTGTGCCCCATCCTCTTGTGTGTACAATTCTTATTTAGCCTTCTGAAGTAAAAAAAAATTCAGAGATTGCTTTTATCCATCAATGTTTTCCTCATCTAAACCGTATCTAAATATTTTTATTTTATTTTTTCAGATACTGTTTCTAATTTCCCCTGTGTTTGAAGGTCAAGCTTGCCATATCTATGAGTGATACTCACTTTGGGATGAAATGCCCCTTTGGCACTACTGCCTTCAGAAATGAGATTTCTCTCCTTACTCTTACAACAGAGGAGGTAATTAAGTGCCCTCTCTAGTCCATTTTCACTCTTGCAGATAGATTAATAGCAGTTGCATTTTCAAAACTATTCAGAAGTATTCCCAGCACATGTCCCACAGTTGTCTACCAAATTTAATTATTAAAAATATACTGTATTTGGGGTTGTAGATTTAAGTTGCAATCTGATAAGGTGACACATGCCAAACTGTCATACTTAAATATTGCAAAGCAACCCTGGCTTAGGAAACAACTTTCTAAAGTAGAACCTTTTCATCTCAGAAGATCTGCTTTAGAGTACAGATAGCAAGTGCATTTATAATTTAGGAACATTCAGAAACCCACAGGGGAACTTCACAACCCCCTTCTGAAACTTAATAATTCTGCTGTTCCTCTTGATTTCTCTACAGGGTTCTTAAGTAAATAAACATGGTGTTTGACTTCAAATGCAATAGAAATGAATCTCTCTGTGAACAATACATCTTGACATGTTTGAATATGTTCAAGAATTTTCTAAAGAAAAGGAAAGAGAGAAAAGTGGTAGAAAATCCTTTTCTAATTTTTTTAATTTAAAAAATACTAGCAGGGCTTATTGAAGGTCATGGTAATTGGCAAGGTAGTTTTGCTGGATTAATTTTTAGGGTAGCTACAAAATTCACTTAATAAGAATACATAATTTAATAAAAGGTTATCCACAAATTTATTGACAAGCAAAATGATGAATATACTAAGGGGCTTTTTTTTCTCTTGCTGAAGCCAGAAAAATGAATAGTACAATCCGGACTAGATTAAAATTTATCAGTAGGGTCCTCCTTTAAGTACTAATTAACTAGTACCGAAAATTCAAATTTATTATTTTCTGATTCATATGTTTCAAGATGAGCTAAATACTTAGAGGACTTTCTCTAGCAAATCTCTGCAGCACTCAAATATGATCATAGCAATATAATAATTGCTATCATGGGACTCAGTGGTGGGTTGCTACCGGTTCTCCCCAGTTCTTGCGAACCGGTAGTGGAAATTTTGAGTAGTTCGGAAAACCGGTAAATACCACCTCTGCCTGGCCCCACCCCCAATCTATTCGCTGCCTCCCGAGTCCCAGCTGATCGGCTAGAAGGAAAAAATCATGGCTCACTTAACAAAGAAGAGGGAAAAAAACCAAGACACCTTAGCTTTAAATTGAAAAGCCAAGAAGCCTCCCAATTGATTGGCTAGAACTGATCCACTCCTTGTAAACCGCTCAGTGGTGGTAGATTGGCAATTGAGGCCAACCTGCCTGAAAGAGGTTTCCGATGCTCTCGGTGGTGGCAGAGTGGCAAAAAACTGTTTAAACTCTTGCCGCTGTACTTCAAAGGGCCGCCCTACAGCTAATCAGCGGTAAAAGGCAGTGTGGTGGTAGACCAGTGCATTCCAAAAACAAATAGGTAGATCGGAACGCTCAAATGGGTAGACCGGAGTGCTCCAAAAACAAATGGGTAGACCGATACGGCTCTGCAAGTAGTTAAAAGTCTGGTAGACCTCTGCTAAATCCTAAAGAATTGTTTGTCACATGACCATCAAACCACACCCACAAAATAAGCCACGCCCACAGAACCGGTAGTAAAAAAATTTAGAACCCACCCCTGATGGGACTATGTTAATTCCTCTAGGAGTTCAAAACAATATGCTACAAATGGGTGTTCTCTCTTTCAAATGGTAGAATCTCCCTCAAACTTAGTTTGACTCCTGGTAACTACATAAAGACAACCTTGTAGTTCTATTGCCAGTAGTGCAGACATGACCTTCCACTACTACATTCTGGGGTGCATTTTTTTTACTTCTCAATTTGATCTACCACCTTAGTATTCCCTGGTAATCTTCCATCCAGTAGAAGGAATCTGATCCTTCTTAGCTTTTTCAAGATCAGTCAAAATTAGTAGGATGCTGCCAACTGCTTTTACTCTTCCAAACAGAGATAGCTTGAATTGAGAGTGTCTGGTTTAATTCATGGCTCAACTAATGGTGAGCTTCCATAACTAAGTCAAAGTCTCCTCTCTCTGGGCCTAGACAACAGGATATTCACTTCTTTACACTGGTTTTTACCAGACGAGGTTATAAATACCTGGCAAACGTATGTAAATAAAAATGAAGCAATATATTAAAAGAATATCCAACCTGACTGTCACCTGAATAAGCAGAAACCAGATGACTTTGATATGGCAAGATTTATTTGAGTGATTTATTTCGATGATATTTTGTCATTAAACAAATGAATACATGATGACATTAGCATCGTTTAAAGAGCTGTAGTCAAAATGGTCTTTATTTCCCTGCACAAGCGTCCTTGTGACAGTCATGTTTTGCCTTTCTAATGAAATATTTGATTACACAAATATAACTTTAATGAACAACAAAACTAAGCAAATAAAACCTTGATAGAAGAAAAAATATTTAATTTGGGGCTAGACAATTATAAAGAAAATCTTCCACACCAATGCATTGGCTGGGGTTGGAATTTTGAAAGCTTTGAAAACTTAGATATTCTAAGTATATATCAGTATGATGCATAAACCTCCTAGCTGGGGAAATACAGGAAAAAATATGCAGGCAGCCATATGTGGTCTTGCAAAGAAGTCTCTAGATTAGAAGTCCCAGCTTGCACAGCAGTATATGCCCACTTGGAGTAAACCTGGGCTTTGGCCATGCATGAGGCATTAGCCAAAATGTGCCCAAACTGAGCTTTATTGTTTTTATTGTTAGCAGGAGTGCTACATGGAGCACAAGTGCAACTGGGCTTGAATGCATGCTGAACCTTGTTCCAAAGGTGCTTTTTCCAAAAGGCAAGTGGACTTTTTTCCTTTGAAAATGTTTTCGTTTCTCATCCAAGAAGCTTCTTCAGTTCTTGGATGAGAAACAAAAACATTTTCAAAGGGAAAAAACAAAGTTGCCTTTGCCACTTGGAACATACAAGGAATAAATGGTAAATAGGATGGGTTAAATGAATGAAAGTCACATAGATCATTTGCCTGTCTGTGAAATTAAGATAAAGAGGAAGTATCTAAATGAAGCTGGTCTTGCTTTGCCAATTAAACAGGGAAGTGAAGGTGTAGGTTTAATGAAAAGCTAAAGTGCACATCAGAAAATATGAATTGGTTCATCCTAGATTATTTTGGATATACATGAAATCAGAATCCATTGACTCATAATATTCAATGTTACAGTCCACTAAATGTTACTAAAAGAACAAAAAATGAAGTTGGTGAAAAACTGTGCAAGGTCTAGATAAATTATATCAAGGAGGAAAAATATTAGGAATTCAAAATGAAAAAATTGAAAATTATAAAGTAAGAAAAAGAAAGATGGAACCATTCAGAAATCGAAAAATGAATGAGGATGGGATAGTTAAGCAGAACTGCTTGGAAAAAGTTGTTTTACATACGTAATGTAAGCATAAATTTATTTATATGTACATGGGAAAAGAATGAATAAAAAACATAATTGATTTCATTGCTCATGATGAAAAATTAAAAGTAATGAGTGACAGATACAAGGCTCTACTAAGACTGGAGAGATCCAAATTCAAGTCTGTTCCCAGACAAGAAAACTCATTTGAGTGATTTAAGCCAGTTAAGCACACTATTGAAATATTTATAGATAACTTTTGTCTTTTGCTTTATTTTGTATAGCAACCATCCACCTTTGCTAAAGCTCATCAAATTATTCAGGCCAATGGGTGGGGTCTGAGTGGACTCAACAAAGGGCTGTCTGCTACTTTGGGACGTCATGGAGTTTTTAATATGGTCTATTTTGGATTCTATTTTAATGTGAAAAATATTATTCCTGCCAATAAGGTATGTGTATTATTTTAAATTCTTTCCCAACCTATCTGAGATACAGGTATTGTTCCAACATTTTTAACAGTTGAAAAAACTGAGAATACTACTGCTGAGACCCAAATCTTTCTATAACTTCCATTTTTCCAAAGCTGGCCCTATGGAACTTCCAAAGGTAATAATAGTGCTCTCACATCTTACATCTAAACCCAAGATCTCTGTGACTCTTACCGTACTTCCTTTAAGAAAACCCGAAGGTCTGACTCTTTCCCCCTGGCACTGGACCAAGAAGTGATTTGAATCCACCATTTGAACTGATTTTTTACTCCCAACATGATCATTTATTACTTATTCTTGTACTGGCTGTTATTGCTTCTTTTAACCTCCTGTAAGCCTCCCAAGGCCATCAGCAAGTGAGTAGCCTTGAAAATTAAAATTATAATGATAGCTAACATAAACAAACATGTTCAAGACATTTAGTTGGCTCTAGTTGGATCTAAGAGGGCATATGGCTTGTCTTAAGGCTACAGAGTGCATATGTGACAGAGGTGGACTTTTTAAAAACTGCACTATAGTATTACATAAGATAAGTTAATGTACCTGTGAACAAATGAATTTCATCGGAGCCACAAATGAGTACACTTAGCAAATGTTACCTAGTGTTTGAACTCCAAACACCTTTAACTTCTATTTGCCCTTTAACCTATAACTGCATTGTGCTATATTTACTAGAAGAATATGTCTATCAGAATAATGAAACCGTTGCTATGCTCACAAAGGAACATAAACAGGAGGAGGCAGGACCTCCATATAGGAAGAATTGGAAAGTAGGCAGTATCTGTAATTCTTGAAAACTAGATTTGCATTGAAACTATTGTTTCATTGAAAATTGAGTCCTGAAAATACAAATTCCAGTATTGATAGATCCAATTGTATGTGTCTTTTAGAAGTTAATTGGGACATTTCCAAGCCCAAATGGTCCCAATACCATTTGTATGATATGAAAAATGTATTTGGTTTGAACTTCAAGGATTGTCCATATTTGTTCAGCTTTTGAGAATTGAGGAGCACACCAAATCTGGTATCCTCTTCCATGAGGCTGCTCTAAGACATTTTTGTCTATATGGTGCCCTACTATGGACTACAACAACTTTCATCAGCTCCAACTAATATGGGCAATGTGAGGGCAATGTGACTTGGAGTTCAACCCATCTGGAAAGAGACCAAGTTGGGAAAGATTGCATTGAAGGACATTCATTCAGCAAATTACCCCATACCAGTGGTGGGTTTCAAATTTTGTTACTACCGGTTCTGTGGGTGTGGCTTGGTGGACGTGGCATGGCTTGGTTGGTGTGGCTTGGTGGGCATGGCAGGGGAAAGATACTGTAAAATCTCCATTCCCACCCCACTCTAGGGGAAGGATACTGCAAAATCCCCATTTCCTTTCGATCAGCTGGGACTTGGGAGGCAGAGAATAAATGAGGGTGAGGCCAGTCAGAATTTTTACTACCGGTTCTTCGAACTACTCAAACTTTCTACTACTGGTTCTCCAGAACTGGTCAGAACGTGCTGAAACCCACCTCTGCCCCATACATTTGAAAGACATGTAGGGCCTTTTCGATAGTTGCATGGCACAAAACGGAAATTTTTTTTTTCAAAGTTGTATAATACGCTCCACAGGAAATTTAACATCACAGAATTCACTTGAAGTTTCCAGTATTCACACACATGAGATTAAAACTTTATTAAGGAAATTTTATTCTCAGTAAACTCATGTCCTAGGTAGGAAGGCCATCTGAGAAAGCATGAACTGCTGGATTGTGTCAGCACATGCAAAAAGCTGTTGTTTCAAGACTGGCTTTATTGTACAGCTAATTTCTGAATTTTTCAAAGCAGGGCAAAATTGTAGGCTTTGGACAAAATGTTTTGTACATTCTTCAGCCAATTAGCTTCGTGAGTTACTACTGGTCCTGATACAGAAAGGCATAGAAATCTGCTGTGCAATTCTACCATTGCTGGATTGTTAATAGCAGGAAGCCAGGCCCCCTTGGTATAGTGCATCAGCTACACGCAAAGCTAAATGTTTTTTTAAAAAAAAAAAAAAACCTGGAGGAGGAAGGCAGCAGACTGAGATTAGCCTTTATTTAATTTAACATTTGGGGGTCCAATGCACAAATGAGCATTTTAGTAGGCTTCATGGTGGAAGTTGCTGTCATTTGTAAAATATTCTGGCCAATTAGCTAATAGTGTGCTTAGATTTCTCCCGTTTTGATACAGTAATACTAAGTACATTGTGAAGCCCAATTATACAAATCATCCCCATATGCCGTACTGGTCTTTCTTTTATGAGCTATGTTTATAAATCCTGTGTGAGGAAATGTGTACTTCAGCAATTTAGACCATGTGTAAAAACATAGCCAATCAGATTGTCAAGAAAAGGAGCCCTGGCACTGGAAATTCTAATGCGTTCCACTAGAATAGCAGGAGTGTGTCGTATCATGCAAGCTTTCTGATTAAATGCATATTATTTCATAGTCTTTAACGAATTGAAGTGCTTCTGTTCCTATTTTAACTTGGTTCATTTTATGTCAGTCATTCTGTTTCCCCAACCCATCGTCTTTCTTTTCCTCCTCTTTTCTCAGCTATTTTGTTGGTTTGCTTGTTTGTTTACCCAGGATCCAACATTGGAGTTTCTGAGAAAGTTTGGAATTGGGTTAGCCTCAGGAACAATAGCCTCAATTATTAACATCCCTTTTGATGTTGCAAAGAGTAGGATTCAAGGACCACAGCCTGTGCCTGGAGAAATCAAGTACAGGACCTGTTTTAAAACGATGGCAACCGTTTATAAAGAAGAAGGGTAAAGTATTCATTTCAGTAGTAAATATCCAGAATCTAGCTTGTTCATAAAATCATATTGCAGATTTAATTAGTCCCTAAAAACTCTCTGCATAGTATTTGTATACCAAACATTTTCAAAGCTTCACAATTCAAAATGTACATATGAAATTAAAAGAGAATTCTACTTTAGCCTGAGTTTTCTGAATTTTCATTTAACAAATTTCTGATTATATTGTTCTGAAAAGACTAGTGTTCTACAGCAGACCATTCAGTTTATACACCTTAGTATTAATTGGTGCATTGGGACAAGGGTGGGCTTTCACCCCCTCCCCCCAACATCAAGGTAGCCTATATTTAATTGTTTCAATTGTAAATACTAAAAACATTCTGCTTCCCCAAACTGAGATTGAGGAAAGACAGCTTGTCACCATCTTTCAAAGTGGAGAAAAGCATACAGAGATTTCTGCAAACTCTCTCTGCAAAGAGGGTTAGTGGAAGCCAAGATATAAGAATGGCTTTGAGCAGATCTAGAGGTCATAATGAAAAATGTAGGTTAAAGAGCTCCTGATTATTTCTGGATTCACATTATACAGAATGAACAGAAAAAGCTCTTTCATATATCAAAAAGGGTACTGCATCAGACTTCAGAAGAATCAAAGTCATCCTAAGAACTACTTCAGAGAATGCCACTCTTCCTCCCACTTTTCTAATTTTCTGCAAATTTTTTAGTAAGTATTCTACCCTAGCCTATAGAGGAATGAGACTGCAACATCTGCTTGTTTAATGAACTGGTATATAATTGAACTGGAACATGATCTTAGTGTATTCATGGCATCGATATAGCACCAGTATTCCAAACTTCATGTATGCAAATAGTTTAAAGTGAGAACTCAATCACAACATAGTTAAAGGAGAGCCATTAGAATTGTACATGTTTCAGAAAGGATAGAAAAAAATGCTTTCAACCTTGCATGAAGGCAACACTTCTCTACTATTCCCTAAAATATTCTGTCAGTTATTCAGTATGTTGCTTTTCAAAGAAGCACATAAGCCAGCTAAATCCAGGTTTTGTTGCAAGCAGAATGATGGGCTGTTAAGAAAACCCAATCAATGTAACTATCATTTTTCATTGTTTTTCTTCAGATTTCTAGCTTTGTACAAAGGCTTGGTTCCCAAGATCATGAGGCTAGGACCAGGTAATTCTTTTCTCATTCACTATTAATGCTATGTATATACAGTAGTACCTTGGTACTCAACTGCTTTGAAACTCATCAAATTTGGTACTCAACACATTTTGACATGAAAATTTTGTCCTGGTACTCATCATTTGTTTGGTACTCAATCCACAAGCTAGAACTTGTTGGTGTCAGCTGCCTTGTTGACTCACTACATTATTCCTTATGGGGGAAATGTGTTTGGTATTCATCATTTTTGGTACCACTGTAGTTTATTTTTATTCAGTAATTTCAAACTCCAAATATGTAGTCAGATTGGTACTATGTCTCTTATTATGCACCAAGACAAATTCCTTGTGTGTCCAATCACACTTGGCCAATAAAAAATTCTATTCTATTCTATTCTATACTATGTTATTACTGTTCTTGGTTTCTTTCTCTCCCTTAGACTTGCTCACTGCTCAGTCAACAATACAGTAAATAAAAGCAAGAATGTAGGAAAAATATCTGGTAAAAGGATATACCCAAACCCTATTTGCCAGATGTTGAAGCAGATTTTAGTTTTAACTTACCTTCTTTCCATTATAGCAAACCTGTAAAATCAAGCAGATATCTTTTGGCAGGTGGTGTCATTAGCCTATTATTTTATTCCAGCTGTTGTATAGGCCTTTAATTATATATACAAAAGTTAATGGGTAGAAATGAGCACACTTAAGGAACAGTGGGAAATGGAGCACTGGGATATTTCTACCCCAACCAGGGGTGAAATGCTCCCGGCTCGGACCGGATCACCTGATCCGGTAGTGATGGCGACGGGTGGTTCAGAGAACCGGTAGCAAAAATCCCTGCGCCCCCAACCATGCCCAGCTGAGCCGCACGATCATCAGAGGCTTTTTTTTTTTTACTTTTAAAAGCATTTTTTCTACAACCTCTTCCTACGAAAAAATGCTTTAAAAAGTAAAAAAAAAGGCTCTGATGATCACGCGGCTCAGCTGGGGTCGTCAGAGGCTTTTCAAAGCATTTTTTTCTGCAACCTCTTGGCCGAAGAGGTGGTTTAAAAATGCTTTGAAAAGTCTCTGATGATCCCAGTTGAGTTGCCTGATCATCAGAGGCTTTTCAAAGCATTAGAAAAAAAATGCTTTGAAAAGTTTTTTTTAAAAAAGTTGGCCACGCCCACCCAGTCATATTACCCCACCACCACCAAGCCATGTCCACAGAACCGGTAGTAACAAATTTTATATTTCACTCCTGACCCCAACCCTTTGGAACATATACCCGAGATTGGGTGCCTGAATACATTCTTCCAGAATATAGACCTCCCTCCAAATAGGTGGATTCTCAGGACTCTCTAGCCAACATGGCCATTGATAAAGGTTCAAATCCACACATTTGAGAGGCACAAAGTTGGAGAAGATTGTCTTAGTAAAAATATTATATATTTTTACTAAGCCTGAATTTATTTATCTGAGCCTGAATTTTAAAAATTGGTTCAAATGTTATTTATTTACTCATTTTGTATACAGACAGTCCTTAATTAGGACCAGAAGCTGCATCATTGGGTGATGTGGTCATAAGTTAAAAAGAAACAAAAAACACATGACAGCACCACTTAATAACAGCAGTTCCAGAAGTCCCCATTGCCAGTGAGGACCATTAAACAAGGCCCTCATGTGACTGTTACTAGCAACTTCCTACTAGCTTCCCTGTTGACTTTGCTTGTCAGAAGCCAGCAAGGAAGGTTGCAACTCACAATCATGTGACTGAGGGATTCTGTAACAACCGTAACTACAAGGAACTGTTATAACCACTACTCATTCAGTGCCATCATAAATTCAAACAGCTGCTGTATGAGTGGTCATTAAATAAGGACCACCTTGCTCTCCAGATTATGCATTATTAGCACGTGAAGTTTAAACCAGAACCAGCAAAATTAATTTCATTTATTTCTCTCATATGAATATTCCGATGTTGGTTGACCACAATGGTCATTAGATTAGATTAGATCAGATTATATAATGGGAACTGGAATTATCTTCCAAGGATAATAAACTTCCAGTTCACTTTGTCTTTGATCAGCTTTGACGAAGACCGCAAGGAAACTATTACCACCTTCTAAATAAACACAGAATGTTTTTTTCTTTGTGTTGGCTTACTCACTAGCTAATGAATATCATATACAAAGGCGTAATCTCAAAAAGATCTGTCAGAGTGTTTCATTTGAAATACCTATTAGAGGTGAAGTATACAAAATAGTTTCTCCTAATATTTTTACAATAGAGATTCCCTTCATAAAAAGTTTATTCTATCCAGGAAGTAACTAATAGACATACCTAATTTTTTCCACAAGGGAAATTCACCCAGTCTGTTGTAAAATGACAGCTGGATGAACTTGGCTCTAGACTCATTGAAGACATTTATGCTGTGGTTTTAAGAAAGCTTTGCTGCATTTGGATGGCTTCTCCCTCATAGTACATACACATTGTGTGTATAATACATATTGTGTGTACAAATTTCTGTACTAAAATATGATATGTATGGAACTGAAAGAAAAACCATGAAAACCTATTTGATTTTCCATCAAAAATATGCATGATTCAAGTAAGCATAGAAAATTTGCCTTTTGTATTTTAGTTTTTAAAACATTACATAATCTAATGTTCTGCATTCGTTAAACAAATTCCCATCAAGCTGCCTGCTTCTGCAAGAACCAAACATTTCTTCATTTCCAAATAATGTCAACTGCTGATATAGAAAAGTCAGAATTCCTTCCATGATGTGTTACTTGTTAAATTTTGTACTTCAAAACATTCTTTCTTTCTAGGTGGTGCAGTGATGCTGCTGGTTTATGAATATGTTTACTGGTGGCTTCAAGAAAACTGGTGACCAAAAGTACTAATTTCAGACTGAAAATAATGTAAAACAATTCCTATCAAATAAAAAAATATGTGCATCAGCATTTATAGGCTTAGAAAAGAAAGGGATAATTGTTCAATGGTGGAAAATGAATGCCCTTGGTTACTGAAGGCAAGTAGTAGTAAATATTCTTCAGGGGGAAAAGTTGATATATTTCACACCCAGATGCAAATACCTATCCCATTAAGTATTTTAAAAGAATATAATGTATGTCTGTCAAGCAAATTAAAAGTGTTAATTTGAACTCTCTCTCTCGTTGACTCATTGACTGAACAAATCTATTGTTTAAGATGCCTGCCTAAAAACCAGGAGACTGCAAATTCTAGTCTCACTTTAAAAGCTGGCTGGGTGACTTTAGGCCAGTCACTCTCTCTTTCAACCAATTCATATCACAGGGTTATTGTTATGGAGGAAAATAGGAGGAGAAAGGACTATTAGCTGCCCTGAGTTATTTATAAAAATAACAAAGGCAGGGTATAAATAAGTAAACATTATAAAGTTGTTATAAATTGAGATCTTAATTTTAGAGTCCAGTCTTATATTGAGATTTCTGAATATGGTAATCAGGAGAGTTAAACTCAGAATTGAGTACCACTAAATTTAATTGGAGTTGCTATCATGTTTGATGAAGTGAACAACTCATGATATCTGGGCTGTCAGATCAGGGCTTCAAAAATTCAGATGACCACTAAATAGCATCCAAATAGTTGGATGGACTTATACTTCACTCAAGTACCTGTAACTCTATTACTGCTTGTAATATTAAGCATGCCCTCCTGACAGATGATTGTATTACATACTACTCGGAGCTGCTATTGAAAATTATTCCAATGTTTTAATATGTGTTTAATAAATTTTATTTTAAAAAAAGAAAGAAAGAAAATTATTCCAAAAATTGAAGGATGATTCTCATCCTTTTTGAAGTGGGACAGTCAAATTATGTATTGTATTCCATTCATTCTGCATCATCCTTGTCAGTTCATGTTTTACTCAAATTGAAATACTTTGGGGCTTTAAAACTCTAAACAACATTATCATTTGGTATTTTAAAATTATTTTTGAAAGACCTGCTTACAGCCCCACCATTATGGCCTTTAAAGTTAACAAGCATTAGAGACAGGTACTTGTTAGTGGTAGCTCCTACCCTTCAAGTTTCCTCTGTACAGAGAACAGTCAGGCTATGAAAACTATTCTACTTTTCTGTGGCTTCTGGTTTTAAGGTTTTTAATATTTGCTGTCATCAAATATTTGAAACTGTATTTTGTTTTATGTAAGATTCCTCTATCATTTGATACTTCATATTACTGGTTTATAATGAAAACTGTATTCAGAAGACTATAATGCTGAAAGATGGCTATGAAATATAGATCTAAAAAAACTGTGTCTCAAAATTTCAAAGAAAAATGAGATAATTGAATTCTTTTTTTTTAAAAAAAGTAGTATTTTTATAATAATGCTTGAGGCATATTATGTCAAGACAGCTGGAGATATTTTAGCATTTTAAAAGATATTTGTGTTGACATAATCATGTAAAAAATTTGCCTAGATTATATTATACTAGCTTTTTAAAAATGTTCGTAAGTAATTGATGTCAACAAAATGTTTTGTTATGTAGTAAGTGTTTCCAATGCAGGAATTAAAAGTCTTCAGAGGAAATCTGATATTTCTCTATTTTGTTGTTGTTGTTCTTGTTGTTAATTTAGCATGTTCAAAATTCAAAAATAAAATACATTTACATATGTTGCTTTTAGCTGTACTTTGTTTCCAACATGTCTTTAAGTATATTTTCAACCTCATCTTTCAGTAGAATAAAATCATTTGATAGTAACCTCAACCACAAACAAATGTTACTTTTAATGACTAGAAAGACTTGCTTTTCTGCCTGGGCCTACAACCTTTGCAGAATGTGATAGAAAAAATGATTAGTATTAATCATACTGTTCAGATATAAATCTAACTTCTTTCAGTAAGATGACTTTTTAATATAATAATTTTACTAGAGATTATAATTAAAAAATTAAAAATTGCAAACTAAAAAAAATAATAAAATAAAAATACTGCAGAAAATAAAAATAAAGAATAAGGATATAATAAAGAAAAAGAAAAGAAATACCTTCATCTCAACAAGTATAAAATGTTTAGTAACTTGCAGTATCGTCATTTTTAAAATACAATAAATTATCTTGTCTTCCCATATTAAATGTCTTATCTATATAGGTAGTCCTCGATTTACAACAGTTCATTTAGTGACCGTTCAAAGAAACAACAGCACTTTAAAAAGTGACTTTTGACCATTTTTCACACTTATGACTATTGCAGCACCCCATGGCCACGTGATTTACATTCAGATGCTGACTCACATTTATGACAGTTGCAGTGTCCTGGAGTCATGTGATTTCCCCTTTTGTGATCTTTTGACAAGTAAAGTCAATGGGAAATCAGATTCACTTAACAACCATGTTACTAATATAACAACTGCAGTGATTCACTTAACAAATGTGGCAAGAAAAATCGTAAAATAGGGTAAAACTCAAAAAATTTCTCACTTAACAACATAAATTTTGGGCTCAATTGTGATCGTAAGTTGAGGACTACCTGTAAACAAATCCTTAAAACTTTATTCTTCAGAACTGGTAAGCAAATGTACATTAAGGATTACTAGAGAGAATAACATATCTATTGTATCCTTGATCAACTAAAACAACTTTATATTCATTCCTTTTGCTTTTAACAATCTTGATCTTTAATCATTTCAAATATTGTTTTAATGTCCCAGAACTTGATTTCTTTTCATTTCTTTGTTCTTTCCCACAAAATTCTTCAAAGCTTTAACCATTCTCTTTTGTATATCCAATATAGAAAAATTATCCAGGTCACTCTCTTGGTTTGTTATTTGTATATCCCTTTAATTATTAAGACATCAGCTAGCTTTTTTTATAACATGACATCTTTTTTACACATTATTCTTGTAGCTTATCATTTTTAATCCACTTTCAGATCAGTTTCATTTTTGTCCAGTAAATCTTATTCCTGTTCCATTACATCTTTAACTGTAAAAGCAAATACTATTAAAATTAACTTCATTATATCCAGTGTTATTTTTCCATTCTGTATCAATAAGCCAATTTAAGTGTTCTTCTCCTTTAATTGTAATCTTTAGCTCCTTTTGATTCTGTCTGAATTCAGTCCAATCTTCATCCTGTCATGTTTTTAAAGAGAAGTCAAAACAAAAACATTTTCCCACAAGAAGGATTCTTATAATTAATTCCAAATTCTTATTTCAAATCTATCTGGACCCTTAGTCCATCTGTATCTTTCCAAAATCAAACTTCTAACTACCCTTTTGCTATTTATTCCCAAATATTTAAGTTCTTAAACTTGTATTTAAAGTTTCTTTTGCTAATGATTGAAGGAAACTTACCTGGAGTTATAAAAGCTGTCAATTCAAAGATTCCTAAAGAGTCTGTAAAATTGAAAACTGTAGTTTGAGCAAAGATGATTTTCCCTCATCCAAATTGACAAGAGACTGCTGTCTTGCAATCTCCTTGCAAGGAGCAACTGCATGGAACACTTGTGGGCAATTTCAAGTCCACTCCTTGTCCTAAAAGGCATTACAAAGAGCCAGTCTACTTGCCAGCTCTTTATTCTGTCAAGGTCATTGAATCCAGTTTCAACGGAGTCATCTTCAGTTCACCATTTCTTCCCCAGAAGTCCCTTTCAACAGGACTTCCAGGTCAGCATCCCAATCAAAGTCATGTATTTTGTGAATGGAAAAAATAACTGTTCTAAAATCAGTTGGTGGCAAGGAGAACTATCAGCAGTGGTTCTTTTCAACCAACTATTGATGTAGCATTTCATCATATTCTTTATTGCAGGCAGGAGACACAAAATTTGGGGAATTAAGTATTAAGAAATTAGGGTGCAGCCAAGAAAGTCCCCGTAGCTGTCCCCATTTCCATTCTCAAATAGGAAGAACATGTAGATGAGTTCTATTTCTATTGTGGCTAGCATGACTGAAGGGTGACATGTGAGAAAGGGCTGAAGCATGTTTCAGAAAGTATAAATTGGTATAAATAAATGTTGCTAATAGAAGAACAAGATATGAATTTGTGGAAAAATGTGCAAACTCTGGATAAATGCTACCAAGGAGAGAAACTATGTTAGGTGACATGAATGGATGGGTAGGAATGAAAATGAGAAAAAATGATGGGGGGATTCGGACACCTAAAAATGAATGCAATAATACTAAGTTTGCTATGGTTAGACACTGGGAAGGTGATATGTGAGAAGTACCATGTTTCCCCGAAAATAAGACCCTGTCTTATATTTTTTTGAACCCTGAAATAAGCGCTTGGCCTTATTGCCATGCGCTCAAAAGCCTGATTGGGCTTATTATCAGGGGATGTCTTATTTTGGGGAAAACAGGGTAGTGTTAATATTCAGGGACACATACACTACACACATTTTCATGTCAACTTGATCTCAGTCTTGCTGAAGTTGGAGAAAATAAGTTCCTTGACTCGTACAAGTGGTCCTAGTAAACAGATGTGTAGCTCCAGCTGAAAAAACATGTTCCCTGCTTATTCAACAAGGTTTAAATATATGCCCTCATTTTTCTACATCATCAACTTGTGCCAAATTTGAGCCTTAAGTATTTCAGAAAGCTTTAAAAGGAGAGTATGTCATACATGTAGCAATGCTCACCTTTTACCTCTTTTGAAATTACAATTTATATGTAGTCCACTTTTCTGATTATTTTTCAAACCAGCATCAAATCCCAAGTGAGTTTCAAAGCTAAGTGATTTGCTCCTAAGCCCCAAATCCTAGGTTGCAATTCTATCCTATACTTATTATACTTCGGCCTACCGAAATGCCATTGAATTCAGTGAGGCTTACTTCTGTGTATAGGCACAAGTGAGATTGCACTGTTATATCACTTACTGTAACCATGCAAAATGTGTAAGTGCATGCTTCTGCCACATCAATCACTGCTCTTTATGCTTGAGTATGAAACTAGATTTAATGTTTTCAATCAAACAAAAGAAAGAGAGTTCAGTGGTCTAACACTTGCATAGACGGTAGAATTCTGCAAGTTCCAACTCTGGAGTCTGCAGCAAGTAATAGACATGACCACTGGCTACATGAGGCCTCGAAAAAGTTTTTGCTAGTCAAAGAAAACAGTGTTGGAGTAGATTTTAAAACTTCAGTTCTGTGGTTAGTACTTAACCCTAATATCTGAAGGTTTCCAGCTGAACATCTGCCTTGTCCTATAGTCAACAGAGAGAACTTCAGGCTCAAGATGATTGATACTATAAAGCAGTATTCACTCAACACCATGGGTTACTTGTGCATGTCTAGTCTTGTTAAGATGAAGAAAATGGACCATTATGACATAATAGCTACAGCATGAATTGTTTACATTTAAAGAGAAGAAACGAATTCTTGAGGGATCATTTGAGAGGCCTTCATGATACAGCAGCTTTGCCCCACTTGTGGGACATTCAGATTTGCAGCACTGACATTTGATGCATGGGCAAGAATTGCCCTAAGAGGAGTTTTGTTGGTTATTTTTACCCGGAAGCAGGAATTATTTCAGTTCAAGAAAACTCACTTTCAAATGGGTTGCAAAGAGTTGGAGCCCAACTCCAGAGTAGTCCCAAAGGTGCTTTTTCAAAAGGAACTGGATTTTCTGGGGGGGGGGGGTTAAGACGTTTTGCTTCTCACCCAAGAAGCTTCTTCAGCTCGAAGAAGCTAAACAAGCTTCTTGGATGAGAAACGAAACATCTTCAAAGAAAAACCAGAAAGTTCAGTTGCCCCTTGAAAAAGCACCTTTGGGACAACCAAGACCTGGATGACTAAGAATCTCCATTGACATTCAACTCCAGAGTACTAATGAAAACAAATATTCTTCTGAATGAAGTCTGTAGCTGAATGGATTGTGAGCCCTCAGTGCTTTTATTTGATTAGGGATTCCACAAAAGGGCACCATGTATTACAAGCGAATGCATTTCCTTCGGGCCTTACAAATAAGCAGCAGTTACTTTCTGTCAACTGGTTCTAGCAGTACTTAAAAACAAAATAGGAGCCTGAAAAACAGTCTTCTGATACCAATTAGAGTTTATGAACATTCTCTTTTCAATCTATGATTAAATGGTTGCAAAATGAAAATATTTTTGAACATTTTCCAGGAAGCCTCAATATGACATCACACATTATTTCCTTTGAATTGCCTTAGAGATCGATCTCTGTTGACTTTTTGAAATAAAAACATGATATTCTCAGAAAAGAGACAAAATCTTATCTTATTCTCCCAGCAATATGCTTATGTGTAATATGGCCAGGAAGAAATGTAGATAATTTTATTAAGCAGTCTTTCAAAATCTGTATTGAGCGACGTGTTTTTACATTATTGCACTAGACTTACAAAAGTACATAATATATTAATATTTAATCATGCTAGGAGATATGTCAATTTTCCAATCTTTCCTTCTCATGGTTATCTTCAACACACAATGGCAAGCTTGAACAGGCTTTCCAAAATTATATTCACAACTTTATTATTGTCCAAGGAGAACAGACCATCTTGAAAAGATTATACTGGGGAAAAAAATATAAGAGAGCAATTGGAATCCAAGTGACCATGAAATGATGCTTGATAAAGGATACAGCAATGAAAAAGATGAATATTGTTAACATTATAAATAATATCTGTAGTACCACCACCAATATGCCTATGAATGAAACATGCTTATGTACAATAATGTAAACTTTACCAAAAGCCTAGTTTTGTTTTACATTCAATAAAACAGGAATTGTAGACATTTTTTTTTTCTTCTTTTACTTTTTCAAAATGGCAACATAACTTGGGAGGCTGGGGCTGGAATTACTGAACTCAGCTAAGCAAAGAAATTACAGTACAGTTTGCTTTCACAGTGGTTACTTGCATCATAATTCACCCACTTTCTGCCCAAGCATCCAATAAAAGGAATTGGAGGTAAAATTCTTATTATGGATTGGCTTATTGGCTTATTAAAAATCTCCGCCCACAATTTCACATTAAAGAGACGGGATAACTTTCCATTTTGTTTAGTTTTTTTCCCATCCATGTCTCTTTCATGTCAGTGATGCTACGGTATTATGAATGTAGGTTATTAAATACCATATGGAAAGTATTTTCTCTATACAGTATATCCAGAAAAATCAATCATTTGCTACTGAAATAAATGGGTTGATATACTATTAAGTAAATGTTGATCATAGGATGCTTCTGTGGAAGAAAAAAAGGGAACATTAACTTGGCTGATTCTACCTCCTCCTATAATTTATTGTATCTCATGAAAGATTGTGCCAAATGCTGGGAGAGTCTACCGAAGAGAATAGAATGGGAGATTGTGGCATAATTTGTGTTGCTTATTTTTATTTATTACATTTATTATTATTTTTAGCAGCAGTTTTCATTGAACACTAGTGCCTTCCACAAACATCCTTTCCTTTGTGAAAGACTGAGAGAAACTTTCTGACCCACTAGGAATATAGAGTTATAGGTAGTCCTCATTTAGCAACTGCCTTGTTTAGAATTGTTCACTGTTACTACAGTGATTAAAAAAAGGTAACTTTGCAACCAATCCTCACATTTATAACCTTATAAGATCTGTAAAGCAAAGGAAAGCTGATCATAAGCACAGTTGCAGTTTCATTTAGCAACCACTTCACCTAAGAACCCTGTTGCCAGTCCCAATTGTGGTCTTTATATGAGGACTACTTGTACTCATTTTAGGTTCTTTGCTGGAAAAAAACCAAATGCTTTTCATTAAATCCAAGTGCTTTAAGGAGCTTTCATACTATGCTGCAAACGTAGAATTATCAAAACTTGAACCATTAAGGCCAATGACATCACCAAGAAGAGAAACAGCAAATTGCTTGGAAATCCTTTCCCATTTTGGCAAACTCTGGGTGAATTGGGAATGCAATTCGTGGAATTCCCACTGAACGTTCTGGAATTGCAATCCTAACACTATTGAAGGATGCTAAAGTGGGAAAAGCATGTCTACCATGTCACCACTTAACAACAAAAAGAAAAGCAGAAGTCAGTTGACTAGTGGAAATGCAGATGATAACCAAATCCATATTTACAAAGAGAAAACAAAAACATCATTGTCTTTGTGATCACAACAAAATACAGGATAAATAACAGAGCCATATATTCATTTGGTTCTATAATTTGTTGCTATAAAACACAAGCTGTTAGCCACAACGACTATTCATCTGTCCATGCTTTTTTCCACAAGAACTATTTTTTGGTCCAAAAGTCCATTTCTATTTGATTGCATTTGTTGATCTATTGGGTTTCTTTGAATGGTTTCTCACAAATATGAAACAATTGCACATTTGAAAAAGTCCTGTAGCTTTAAAATAAATATGTGTGGTTTTACCAATGAAACAGTCACACAAGCCCTCTGAGGGCTGTCAAATCTTCTTCATGCAGTGCAAAGGGAGACAACACATTTATCCCTTCCTTATGTTATTTACACTTACCAAACCGCAATTTTTTTTAAGCACAAAATCATGGAAAAATAGTTCCAGCTCATTGAGTCAGTCTGTGAAGAAGAATGATGGGGACAAAAGAAAGAACACTGAGCTGGATCGGACTGGACCGGATGTTCTGCCGTATTTCCAATATCAGAGTGCAGAGGCGGTGATGGAGTGACTACCTTCTCTGGCTGCTTGCATGCCCTTGAAAGCCAGTGAAGCTGGAATATCACAGTTGTGGGGTGAAAGAGGGGTGCCCCCAGCATGCTGCCAGCCGTGACTACCTACGTAACCAGAAGGAGCAGCACTGTACGCCATATAAGGGGACACCTGGGCTGCTGCGGGATAAGGTGCCATTGTTGGTGCAGAGACAAAGCTTCCGACAGTTGGAAGGCAGCTTGGTGCCTAGAAAAAAAAGAGAGAGCGAGAGAGAGAGAGATGACCATTGTTGTTTGGAAAAAAAAGGGAAAAAAAGAATGAAGCATCTAAAAAGTCTTCATTAGCCTTCATGTAAGCCGCCCTGAGTCTTCGGAGAAGGGCGGCATATAAATCGAACCAATAAATAAATTAATGTAAGACTTATTTCAGATATGACATTTTCAGCTCTCCAAGGTAACAGTGAAGAGACAAGATACAGTAAGGTAAAAACTTGCCTTACTGTACTTTCAAGTCAATCTTTGGCTCCTGGCAACTCTCTAGACAAGTCTCTGCATTTTTCTTGGCAAGATTTCAGAAGAACTTTGCCATTGCCTTCTTCCCAGGACTGAGAGGGAGTGACTGGGCCAAGGTCACCCAGCAAGATTCATGCTAAAGTGGCAGAACTCATACTCTTCCAGTTTCTAACCCAGTGCCTTAACCACTACACCAAAGTGCCTCTCTAGTGACCCTAACCCCAAATGTAACTGGGTCAAAATTTTCATACCAGATTTTTTTTGGGGGGTGGGACGACGGGACTCTGTTAAAAGGCAAGCTTAATAGCTTATACATAGCAGATCTTAAGGAATCTATATTGTTCCTTAAAAACCTCTCAAAATCACCTGAGTTCTTCAAGTCTTCAGGGGTCCAATGAGGCCATTTTACGTGTGTTTTTAAAACATTTTTCTATGAGCTACAGATGAGGAACCTATGGCTATCGATTCCTAACTCCCTGATAGCAATAGCAATAGCACTTTGACTTATATACCGCTTCAAAGTGCTTTTACAGCCCTCTCTATATACTGCTTCATAGTGCTTTTACAGCCCTCTCTAAGCGGTTCACAGAGTCAGCATATTGCCCCCAACAATCTGGGTCCTCATTTTACCCACCTCAGAAGGATGGAAGGCTGAGTCAACCTTGAGCCTGGTGAGATTTGAACTGCTGAACTGCAGCTAGCAGTCAGCTGAAGTAGCCTGCAGTACTGCACTCTAACCACTGCGCCACCTCGGCTCTTGATATGAGAGGATGTCTTCTTTTTATCCTCCTTCACAAACCGGAATAAATACTTTCTGATAAATTAACTTTTCATCATACATTTTTTTCTTTCTTAAACTTCCTATACAATCAACGTATTATGTAGCCCTCTATCCAAGTAATTCTGGCATACCTGCATCAGAACTTCCCATGTGAATTGCAGAATGTCTCCTCAAAACTAGCACAATTATTCTGGCAGCAACAGCTGGATAATGGTGGCTATTATTCCCTTACCTTATTGTGCCAGGTTAAGACCCTTTGTATGTTACAAAGCTTCTCCTTTGCCAATTCAACAGATTTTTGCTATGGGAAACTGGTTGCATTCCAGTAAACAGTAGTGGGAAAGGCCAAAGAAAAAAACTCAACAACAATGCATCTCAGATTTTAAAATGTTTCTTTTCCAGATTCTTTTAACAGGGCATACCATACTCAAAGGCATCATTAGCATTGCTTGTGAAAACAATATAGGCCTGAGCTTTCAGATTCTCTCAAAGAATGGCCATAAAATTGCCCTCTGCCTTGCTCCTACAGAGCTCCATTTGACAAGCCACATTTCAATTAATGAGAGCTGAGCAAGAACACTGCCGTGCTCATTTCTTTGGAATTTGAGCTGGAGAACTTTCCAATTGCTTTTCTGCCTTCAGAACTGAGCACTGCTGGAAAAAAATTCCAATAGCATGAAATTTAATCCCCATAAATATTAAGATGTATATGATGGGGAAAAAATAAAATATCCAGAACAAGGACACACAACAGCAACAACAAAATGGCGGGGGCGGGGGAGAGGAATTATTGTGTAGCATGCATTCAAGTGAGGATGCAGGCCATTTTGTAATGGTCTGAACAATGGACCTGCTTTATTTAAATTAATTACCATTCCTTGTGAATTCTACAAAAATATACCTAAGGCTGCTTCTTATACAAAGCTAGTGGAGATTGCTAAAACTCCAGCTCCCACCACTTGTTATTCTATCCAGCAAGCCTAACAAGCATCAATAATAGTCCTACACTTTTTTGAATTCTCACCTCATGGGGTTTGAATAAAACAGGCCCATTCAGTCACTGAGCTGGTACCAGAACTACAGTTCTGCCTTGCAGCTGCTGCCTCAAGCAGACTTTCAGTCCATGGGCTGCTCCTGAAATGTTCTCTTAAGACAACAAAGCCTTGTTCCATTGGGCTTTTTTAAAAAAGATGCCTGAATGACAGAAGTAGTTTGCTATGCAGGATATGTGGGTGCTTTTTAAAAACTTACATGCACTTTGCTCCATCTAAATAATACTAAATCCCTCTATAATCACCAGGGCTGACATCTTGTGCCTGAGGCAAAGCAAAAAATGTTGCCCCCTCCCACCTCATTCAAAATGCAGAAGCAACTGTTTGTACCTAGCTTCAGCTCTTGAATGGGAGAACACACACATACACACACACACTAATTCAGAGCTGGAAGGTAGATCATAGGCAGAAAGGGAATGGCTGAAGGGTTGTGAAAGAATGGCTGGAGGCCTCTTTTGCAATCCACAGCATCAGCCACCTGAGACAGTTGGGTCATTCTGCCAGACAGGAGGGCTGGATCTGGCAGTCACAACTTTCTTCCACTTCAGACATATTTTACGGACATCCCCCTCACAAGTATGACCTCTAAAATGTTGCTAATGCAAGGTATAAGCTGGGAGAGACAAATGATAAAAATGATCTACACACTGGTTTACATAGGGTATTAGAATTCAACATTTCATTCAAATGGCACTTTGGAGAATGGGCAAGTGCCATGGACATTTACATATTCACTTAAAGCAAATGCCATTGGATTCAATGGGACTCACTCCCAAATAAACCCACTTCCATTAGAACACCACCACTAGTCAGGAAAACATGAGCTATGCTTATAATTTGGGCTACATGGGTTAATAGAGGAGTTGAATCCCATTTGTTAATGTGACAGTTTATACAAGAAGTACATTCAACTTGCGAATGAAGTGAAGGGGATTAAATTCCAGAACCCTATATATATTGGGCCAATAATTCATCTAGAGAATTTCAGTTGAAGGAAATGAATACCAAAATTCAAAATCAGGAGTTGAGAGAACCCTGTGGTGTTTATGGGTTTTGAAGGTACTTAGAAGTCTTTCCTTAAGTGCTGGGCTTTCAGAAACATTTTTTTAAGTTCTGTAAATATTCTACCATAATTGAAGCCATTGTTTATAAAAGGAAACTGAATTATTGAAGATCTGTTAGTAGATGAATGGAATCTATAGTCCCTTTTTGCCCAATATCTAAGAAGCAAAATCCACAGGGGAGACATGTTGAATTGTTTCAGCTGCTCAGAATTAATGCTTTGTAGCAGTCCAAAGAAAGTGGAACTTCAGAAGAGAGAACAGTCTTCTCCTTTTTCATGGTTTGTCTGTTTAGCAAAATGCATTTTTACAATTTTGTTGCAGCTGACTCAACAGTTACAGTGGGCTGTGGGAGTTACCCCTCAATTATGCCAATTTAATCAAAGTAGAGAGAGGGCTCAAACCTGTAAACAGAATTAACATGAGTTAGGGTCCCCACCCATTCACATAAGCATTGTGTTAGAGAAACTGAAGGAACATCCATGTTTCTGCTGAAAACTGGGAATGACAGCCTTTCTGGCCATAAATTTAATGTATACATATATGTGTGGGGACCAAGATGGCATTAACAGTTCAGCAACCAGTCACCAGATGCATTCATAGTACTGATGCCATTGCGAATGCAGCAGGTATATTTGTTCCACAATTCTTACCACAAGGGTCTTATAGCATAAAATACCATGTGAAACAACCGAGTGAGAAACGATGGCAGGAAGAAGCAAGAAAAAATACATCCCAAAACATGTGAACTGCGCAGAGAGTCTTAAAGAATTAAATCAGATAGTTGAACAGAGGTTATCTAAGAGAGTCCTCTTCTAGACATAAGAATTGGAATAAGTCCTAGCATCAGAACTTGCTATGCTAGCCAAAAGTTAGGGTCTTCCTGTTCCCTTGGGGTTATTATCCAGAATTATCAGCATCAGATCGACCACAGCCACTCTTTGCTGCCCAGCCTTCAAATGTACTTAGGCCAGTGGTGGGTTGCCCCCGGTTCAGACTGGTTCGCAAGAACTGGTAGTAAAACCAGCGGGAGGCTCCACCCACTGACCCGGACGTCATCATAGGTGATCTGCGCATGCGCAGAAGCTTCTGCGCATGAGCAGAAGAGCATTCGCGTGTCCGCAATGCAAACCGGTAGTAAAGGTAAGTAGGATCCACCCCTGACTTAGGCAGCAGCAGAACATCTGGATAAAGGCAGTGGATTAAATCTGCTTTTAAAGCAGCCACCATTTTAGATTTTCTACAGTTGGATATCTGATGTTGGGCATTACATTTTCAGAAATCTAAGATGACAACACAGTGAGTATTCAATGTTCTTCGGCATTCTCCTAAGATAGGGGTCCAGCAAGCTTATCTCACAATAAATAGAGTGATATTGCTACAGTGGAGATAGGACATAACTAGAGGTGGGCATCTCATACTGGATCAACCGGTTCTCCCAGAACTGAAAATGTGAGCATGTGTCTTCCGTGCATGCATGTGGCATCGAAAAACAAGTGATTACATAGGACATGATAGTGCCAGGGCAGGTGGGCGGGTCCAGCCGCTCGTCGGAACTATCGGTTCGCTCGAACCGATCCAAACTGGCAGCAGCCCACCACTGGACACAACTGAAAAGTAGTGTTGTGGAACATTATTTTTTAAAAAGACTGTACTCTGAATGTGTATGGGAATATTGTACTTAATGAAAAGATGAGGCATGGATTTCAACTGTGGGTTTTTTCCCCAATTTGGACCTAGCCACAGACTTTTTTTGTGTTCTGGAGGACAGGACATTTCACTGTATTGTTTCATGCTGCTAATCTGATTCCCAAAGTAATGTTAAAATGTTCTTTTTGGC